CCTCCTCTTTGTTTCAGAGAACAATGGTGCTACGAACATCATGTCTAATGTGCCTTCAGTTGGATCAACAAAGCAGAATGACAATCAGGAGCTGTTTTTCTCTGACATTTGACAAATTGCTTAGCTAAGTGATGGGGGTGGTAACATTTCTTAGCTACCAATACATTCAGGTCAGTAGGTTGGTGTACAAACAAAGCGATGGGTGTCACTTCAGTGAACACTGCTGTTGTTCTAACAAGGACAATTACCCTAATACTCATTTGGAATTAAAAACCTCATTACAGAGACTTAATTAATGATCTGGAAAGTAAAGGATATTAACAAATAGCGAGCAATAATGCTGCATTCGCCACATCTAATCAACATGTCTCATTCTCCTTTGCAATCAAGTATAACACTTCATATTCCTAACAGGGAATTTAGATTTTAATAACACTGCAGTGAGTCTCCTTTGTTGGACATTGGGTCATTGGATGTCTATGGGGTAAAAATTCCAAGGTGTATCTCTGTCCATTTATGGTAAATAGTGCTATTACAGCATGGTGCTTGTTAGTAAAAAAGTCACAGATAAGCTATTGTACTGCCACAACGTTAGTGCCTGCGTGACAAGGTTGCATATTTTTTGGAATGAGCTGAGGAGACCTGGGAAATTAATATGGAATAGATAGTGAGGAGTAAGGACATAAGTTAGGGCAATTTGTGTTCTTCCCTCAACTGTGTGACATTGAGAGCACCGTGTGTTTGGGAGATAAAGAAATGAGAGAAGTGACATTAGTCTGACTCAGAGAGGATATTTGAGAAGGCACTGAAGAGAGGAGAAAATGAAAAGGTAATAGGAGGACAGATTATGAGTTTGTGTAAAGAAAGTGCAGTGAACATTAGAAGGAAGGACAGCCAAGGCTGGAATGCTGAATATTCTATAAATTATTGCTACCTAAACATAAAAAGAAGGAACACTGTTGAACTACTGGTGATTGTTGTCAAGAATGTGGAATATGTTGATATCTGGCTTTCATCTATCTTTCTCAGCGTCTTCACCTGTCTAAAATCAAAAAATTAGAAAACATTGGCTGAATCTGACGAGGAATCATATTGTATCATATTTCTAAGCCCACAGCCCTGCTGGAATTCAAAGCAGGAGGTCAAACTCACCTGGAAACAAAGTAATCAGTGCAAGTAGAATAATAGCTGCTAAGATTAAAAGAAATCTATTTTATACAATGCATGTGCATTTCAGGGTACAAACTAAATGTAATATCCAGATATATTTTCGCTCAAGGGGAAAAGCCCTTCCATGATTGCTTTGCTGCTGCCATGATTAATAACACCTCTGAAGGAATATGATATATGCTTGTATGACAAGTTTTAAATGTAAACTGTCAAACACACTGAAAAGATTCCTATTTTTACTCTGTATGAACCATACTGACACTGTATGTCTGGTTTGCATAGCAGACCAAGGAGCGCCATCAAGGACATGCTCAGTAACTCTCAATATATGCTAGTGAATATTTCATTTTTCCTTTTGGGTTATTGATGTAGATCAATAGTCTGAAAAATAGATCTTATGGACCCAGACCCTTTCAGAATGAGCTTTCTTTCTCTCGTGTTCACTTCTTTATTATATGTTTGAGTTTATGGACTTATTGTATCATAGATCTAGACACACTGTATCCACTGGAGGTTAAAAAAAAGAAAAGAAAAACAAAGTGCGTCTTACTTGGGTCCGACAGGATGGAGTCAGTCTTGGGCAGAAACTGGTCACAGCGGATTCCTTGGTATCCTTCTCGACACCTGATGGAAACAGGAACATAATTATTAGTCAAGTAATCAAAAACTTTAGCTGGGAAACTACGCAAATGACCTTTATACATTCAATTAATTTAAGAGGGCCTATTATGCTTTTGCTTATTTTTATATGTAGTCGACACATGTAAAAGTAATCCCAGTAGCTTTTCCTGTAGATATCACTGATATGGTTAATTTAGTGACAACCTATAAGAGGAGAGAGTTGTCTTTAAAGTTTGGTGGAAAGGAGCTGAAATGGTTCGTTTCAGACATACATGAACACAGTGGAAACACCACTGTTCAGTATAACACACACACACACACACACACACACACACACACACACACACACACACACACACACACACACACACAATAAAGACTGATTTTAAACCGTGGATCATGGATAGCTACTCTCACTGAGTCACAAAACAAAAGAGTTAGAAATGAACATAACATCTCCCCTCATGTCGCAGGTTCGGTCACTATTTTTCTTGGTGATGTGAGCATTTCTTGTTGCTCTAGTTTCTTCATCAGCCACATTGTGCAAGTCATCTCATTCAAAACTTTAGCATCACTATGTCTTGATGCATGCTCAATCATCCAGGTGAGGAAATCCCAAAAACTTAATTACGTTCATCTGGATGTAACATTTTCAATGAGAGAAAAGTTTCAGTGGGAAACCAAACAACCTCTGGGTAAGTGGTTGGCACAACACAGAGGAGCTAACTCATCAGGCCAGGACTCTGCAGTCTATTCACACCTACAGGCTAGTGGAAACTCTTTCAATGATGAGTACACATCCTGGACAGGGAGGAACGCTGATTTGAGCGCGGAGTCAAGGAGGCCATTTACGTGAAAAGGGAAAGACCATCTCTGAATCCAGGAGGGGCCTAAGGGTAACCATCATACAATTCTGTGACTGCAGCCATTCCCCAACTCTCTGTGAATGGTACTCCTGGTCTTTGATTGGTGGTTGTTGACCGATGGTCATGACAATTAGCATATCAAGATGAAGATAATCAAGAAACTGACCTCATAGCTCATTGTTAGTCAGTGGTGCTAGTTTCAGTCATTGTGCAAAGGTACTGTTTAAAAGGTTGGGGAAACCTGCAGTCAGCTGAGACTAAAGAAGCCACTTGGACGATGATGAAATATTTCTCCAACTGAAAACGCTATGTCCAGATGAACAGAAGTATCTACTATGTTCCTTCATCTGGGACCAAAAATAATTCTGCATGCTCATTTTTGTTTTTTAGATCTTTTCTACAGTTCTCTTCTTACTTAAAATGATGTACACATAAGAGCACAAAGAGAGTACAGCCTCCTCATCAAAGGAAGCAAACTGACAAGAAGAAATTATTGATGGGGTGATCTTTAGGGGCAGAACTCTCTACTAGCAAAGATGTGTCCTAGGCAAAATCACAATGGGTGCTGCAGAAGAAAAGGTGGATCCAGCGTGCATTGACCTTTTTCACAGCTAATGACTTTCAGTTTCCTTGTTTGGTCAGAGGAACATCATTAGATGCACCATGCAATGAATAAAATGCAGAATTTCTCCTACAAAGGCAAAGTGCAAGAGCATTGTTGAAATGCATATGAACTTTCCAATGACATTGAATCTGCTGTGATATTTTTCTCCTTGCGTGTGCTAAATTAACTGAAGACACATTCCATGGTTTCTGGATAGCCCTCAGACTTTTAAAGAAATTTAAACTGTTGAATATGATTGGCACATTAGTGAGAGTACCAGTCTGGCAATGATCATTAAGCAGCTAATGAATTCTGAAATGTGCTTGGGCTGCCCTTCAGAAAGTATCCCAAGAAAAGACAGGATGTATTTTTAATTAATTTTAGCTCAATAACCATCTCCTTATCAACACATGGAAGTGTAGCGTTGTCTTACAGAACAGATAGAAAGCACAGAGACTTCAATGAGGGCGTGAGGCCTAACTGGGTGTCGCACTTGGCTGGAATATCAATTTTGCCTCTGGCCAAATGTACTTTGCTTCCTTCTTGCAGAAAATACACATCTCATCCATGCAAAACATTAACTAAGAAACAGACATAGTGATGCTGCTTTAAATTTGACCACACTATTACTTAAAAATTGATAAATCTTCTAATAATTCTTTTTCATTATGCCTTAATTTTCATCTCTACTCCACCTGTATTCCTATGTCTCACCAGATTACCCTTGCAGCTTTGTTTCACAGAATCAATCTGCATCCGGTCTGACAAGCTGACAGCAGAGCAAAAATACTGATGCCTGCAAGTGAAATCTGAGAGAACATCTTTGTCCAACCAGACAAAACACTGGAGCTCTGCATAGACATCAAGCTTACAAGAACTGGAATGTGGCATATTAAAGATTTTTGCTTGGAGCAGAATGACGATAGCAAGCCTGTTTTGTGATTTTCAGTTCTTTAATCAATTAGAGTGGGGTGATTCGCCTGCGCATGCTGCTGGTACATATGTCTTTACTTTTGGAAATAAGTAAAGACATAGCAGTGTTGTGGCAATGAATGCAAACTTTGAATGAAACTCGTATGTATATACAAAAAAAAAATGCTTAAATCTTGAACTGGTTTGAAAATGGAGTTAAAGTACTTTGGGTGGAGCTGTGACTCACTGATACACAGCTCGCTCATGCAGGTTTTGAGTGTATTGTCAAGTGACACTCTGAAAACTAAAAAAATGCTTGATTTTTGGAGGAGCTTCTCACAGCTGTAAGGCATTAGAAGAAATTGGTGGTGGTGAGATCCTGACACTTTTTATCAATCACTTGACATACTGTCAATCTGCCTTTTTCAGGTTCACAGTCGGAAAAAGCACAGGTGTAATGCGAAGTTTCTAAGCACACTGCAGGCTTCACAGCAGACACTGTGTGAAGTCTATACTTATAAACATTCAGCAGCTTTATCAGAACTACTGGTACTGCCGCGAGGGGAATGTGGACCGGCATGTGATGATTATGTGCAGGCCCTAACAAGCCGAGTGATTTTATTCAACCATGGATTAAAAAAAAATGATAGAATTCTGTGAAAACTGCCAAACATGGCATGCTTATATGCTCTATAATGGATCGACACTTTTTTTTTGTTTATACGAATTGCTCAAAGTAATGCAAAATATGCCAAAGTAAGTGGTGTGGTCTAGTAACAGATGCTCAACTGCCATCTAGTCCAGCAGGGGGGTTGGAAGGCTTGGGGGAGGGAGCCAGTGTGAGAAATCTCCACATAACTGTGCTTGCCATTGCTGTCACTGTTAGCACGGTGGCAGCAGTGCTGTTCCTGTCTCGCTTTTAGTGCTGCTGTGTATGCTGAATAGCCCTCACCAATACGTGAAACTCTTTTGTGCATTTTCACAAATACAGTTAGTTTAAACCAGTTCAGCATATCGTGACTATGTTATGAGGAACTGAGCTGAGCTAAATTTACATGAAATCAATATAGGAATGTTGTAATGCTACAGTCAAGTCTAAGGAAAACGCTGGCTGGAGACCACGGTATGATCAAAATGACTGCAATCATGTGCAATTTAATTGGAATTTCATTGCCTCCAAAATGGCTGCTTCCAACGCAGGGACCAGGTCTGCAAGCACACGCACTCTGTTGCTATCTTCAAAGCAACTTTGATGCATCAAGAAAGCAATGAAACAGCAATGAGACAGTCAGTCTATCTGCAGTTGGATCTGTTTGTGATAAATCAGCAGAAATTGCAAACCCGTGGCTGTGAGTTGCTGTATATATACATGGAAACTCTCATTCATACATTCAGAGTCTAACCAAAACCTCATAGGTTTGAAACAAAAATTCATCCATGCACCTGTTGCAGGACAGTGATTTAACTCCAAAATGACATACAGGTGCTTGGCAACTTCTCTTTTATATATGAATATAACCTGTTGGTAACTGGTTAAGTCTTGTATCACATAAGGAGACATCACGAGGCCTCAAAGATCCCATTGTTTGTCAAGGCAACAGTTTTGCCACCTCTCCTCCAAGTTTGTTGTTCTCAGCTTTTAGCATCTCAGTGTGTGATGCCAAATATGTTCTGTGTGGGAGCGGGAGAACAAAACAAACACAAACAAATACAGTTGCTTTGTTTTAAAGATGAGATCTAAATCAGGCTTCAAAAGTTTGACGAAATTCATTTTAAATGATAAACGTTTCCACAACTTTATATAACGTTGCCGGGGCAGATGTAGGTGAGCGTGATTTCACTGGCTGTTCTTTATACTACTGCTTTGTCAAAGTGGCTGGCAGATATGCCAAGGTGTACCTTGGCAAATCCCTGATTCACTGGGTAATGGCAATGGTAAGAAGGGTCTCATTCACAAATTGTCACATATGGATGATTATTCAGGACCGCTTTAAGCACACATGTGTCACTGGTTAAGTGTCAAATAGTTAAAGACATGACCTTTTCCTAAACCTAATCAAGTAGTCTGGTGCCTAAAGCTCAACATACAGCCAACAGCTTATTAACTGTGAAACAGCAACTTGCAAGAAAATGCCGTTATTTGATGCCCAAGGAGAAAACCAAGTTAGCATATGAAACTCCGGCTAGACGAAGCCTAACTCAAATCAAACATTTCAGCAAAAGTATATCATGTCAACAGGTCACTTACACCACAGATGGACATTTTCTCTTTACCAAACATCCCTCCATGGTGCTAAGCCGACTAAACTTCGACGAGAGGCAACCTTTGTCAACCCAACTGATGTGAAGAAAGATAATTAAAAGAAAGGAGGCTTAACATGGTGACAGTGCCCGTGTTTCATGCTCATTAGGTGGAACAGGGGAAGCAAGAGTGAATGCTACCCACTGTTAAAACATACTTAAAAAGGCAAGAGAGAAGACAATACGCACAATTATGCACAGTTGAACAGACAAAGCATCCCGGTTAAATGGCCAGGAGCACCATAAACAGCTGCAATATCCTTCTGTATCATGTTTAGGACTGTGCAGTTTATGAAGTTCTTGTATCCCTCAAACTCTGT